CTAGTTTAGTCTAAATGGTTTGTGGAATCCATTGACGTATATGATGAGCGTGCCAAGTTGCTAGCTTAAATTAATTTAATTTCAAGAATCACGCGCTTTGGTTGCTACTTTAACGTACTTATTCACTTGCTTCAACTATCTCGCATTTTTAATGTTGATTAAAAAGTCATAGTGGTCCACTTCTGCTGTATAATAATTAGAGGAATTGTATCACTTAAGTTGCCAAATTAAACACCCTCAACTTTTATTTTTTTAAAGGGACGAACTGGTACTTCGTGAAGGCAGTCTACCCTTCTGGAAGTCGGGTCTCAAATTTATCTTGTATAGACATTGTTCTAAAAATTTCTGCTTAGGTGCTTAGCGGCTGGTCAATACCCCGATTAATGCCTAGGTGTTTAAAAATTAAGAAATGGCGCCTAAACTTGCTGAGGCGCTTGCCTAGACCGCCTAAGTTGCGACTCACTTAGGCAAGAAATAGATAATTTTCATTTTGTATTTTATTTTTTTAATAAATTGTAAGAGACTTGTTAAATACTTAAATGAACACACATTATATGCTTGTTCCCCATGCTTTCTTTATGTTCCAATACTTCATAATATATATGTCATTCTTTATGTTCCAATACTTCATAACATATACTTCATAATATATATGTTCCCCATTTTTTTTTTTTTACCTTTTTTGTCTCTTCTCAATCCGCTCTCTCCATTCTTTTAATTTTTTCGCTCACTTCTCTTCCTCTCTATCTCATCTGATCATCTCCCTTCTTTCTCTTTCCTTCAATTATCTCTTACTTTCTTTCCTCTTCTCTCCTCTTTCTCCCTCTCCTGCGACCCCTTCTTTTTAGATATCTTTGTCCAATTTAAGTCGTAAGATTTAAAATTTTTAAATCACAAACCAATCACGTTTTTGAGTCTTAAGGAAAATTGTTTTCAAGAATTATTCTTAAGAAATATTTTGAGAAATGATAAAAAATTTCAAATAGGATACCAAATAGGCCCTAATAGATTTACTTAAATCTACCTAGTCCGCCTAAGCGCTAGGCCCCAACCCACCGCCCAACTAGCACCTTAGCATCTTTTAGAACCTTATGTATAGGAAGAAAAAAAAGGTGCCATTTTGGGTTTTTATTTAGTGTGTAATTTGCATCACATGGATGTTTTGCTATGCTAATGCTTTCTTCATCAATCGTTTTACTTCATTGGTTAAAATTTCAAAGCTATCTTGCAAAAGAACGGAGAGTTGGATGGAGACCTCAATCATAGAATACAAGCTGGATGGATGAAGTGGAAGAGTGCATCTGATGTGTTGTGTGATTGTCGTATGCCACTGAAGTTTAAGGGAAAATTTTATAGGATGGCAATAAGGCTAGCAATGTTTTATGGCATGGAATGTTGGGTGGTGAAGCATCAACACAAACATAAAATGAGTGTAGCGGAGATGAGAATACTTCGTTGGATGTGTGGGCACACGAGAAAGGATAAGATTAGGAATAAGGATATCCGAGGTAAAGTAGGAGTAGCTGAAATTGAAGGAAAGATGAGAGAAAATTGGTTATGGTGGTTTGGACATGTGAAACGAATGCCCACTGATGCCCCGGTTAGAAGATGCGATTACAAGACAAAGGTTCAGGACCGAAGGGGTAGATGAAGACCTAAGAAGACGTTGGAAGAGACTCTAGGAAAAGACTTAGAGTACTTGGATCTAATGAAATACGTGGCACAAAACCGAGTACAATGACGTTCTAAGATTCCTACAACCGATCCCATTTAATAGGAAAAAGTTTTGTTGTTATTGCTGTGGTGGTTAAAATTTCAAAGCAAGCACCAATAATGTAATTTGAACGTTCACAACGAACACACTTACACTAATATTTTTCGTCATCCATTACAATTTATAACTAATTAACTCTTTTTCATTCATCAGCAAAACTGATAAGTTTTGGTCTGATGTGCCTTTCAAGTTTTGTCAAGTGCCCTATATTCTATCAGAAGTAGGTGCTAGAATTTGCATCAGGTGGTTAATGGCCTGTCTCATATGAGAAGAGATCCTCTCCGGATCTCTTTCATCAAGGTCATCGAATCAAGTGATTCGGGTCTTTCAAATTTCATTCAACGGCTCACTTGTTTTGACCCTTTAAAAGCTATAATAATTTTTTACTGTTAGATAAAATTTAAAAGATCCGAATCACTTAATCCGATAATTTTAGTGAAAGAGATCCGAAAATGATCTCTTCTCGTCCCGTATATCTCTTGGGGGGGTTGATTAAATATATCCTTGTAATTTATTTCGAATTACGGAGATGGCATCACCACTGCTGCTCTCGTGATCAAATGTTTGAAAAGACGCAAATTATTTCAAACGTAGACAAATGCGAGATTCTAGAAACACCAACCGTGACAAATTGGATCACGAAGAGAATATGCCGTGCATGAAAGCTACATATACAAAAACAATAATTCTGCTATGGTATTTATTTTTTCCTTTTAATTGTTTTCTTCTTTCTGTTCTTAACGTCCCTATCGTTGATGACTGGATTAGTGAATAATTTTGGTTAACTGATGTTTGTATAATTCGTTAGATATGTCGGATCAGAATATATTAGTAACATCAACTCTAATTTTCTAGAGCTAGGAAAAATAGTCATTTATTATTAATATTATTTTAAGTAACCAACTACTCAAACAGTCAAAGTATGGGATTGGGAATAATGGATTCATATGATTTCACACTCCAGAGATTATGGACCGAGCAATCTAAATTATTCAATTTAAATCATGCGGTTCTATTAGTCTCATTTCACTGCCCACTTCACATACAATATATATCTCTCTCTATCTCCAACATCCATATATCTCTTTTACTCTCTTGAACCGTCTAGATTGTTGGTCGGTGAGTACAAGGGGAGAAACTCAATCCGGGAATAATAAGCCACTAATTTTATTCGTGAAATTGCGTGTGCATTACAAATGCTTCCGTGTAACTATAACAAATTGGTGTTATATTATATGAATCGTACATTATAATACGATATATAATTTTCAAAGTCCAAAGGTGAAGAGCCCACTTCCACACCCACCCCCATCGATGGCTATAATCTTCTGTGAAAAATAAGATTGATGATCATGAAAGCAAAGATATATTGCCAAGAAAAAACAAGAAGAATCATAGCTGCTGACAAGTGATGTCCATGTCAAATTTCAGCCTTGCCATTCGACTCAGATTTCTTCTATTTAAGCTATATATACGTACATATATATAGTTTCTTTAAGTGAAGAGATGGGGATTGGCTGTGGAATTCACACATCGAATTTTAATGATTCGAACCGTTTATTTTTTAAGTTACACTTTATAGATATTTTTGCAAAATATTAGCTAAATCGAGAAAAGTTGATGCTTCTTATCGTGACAATTAAATAGGCAAATAATTTTGTATTTAATTGAAATTTTTAATAGATGATTTGTGAATCGAAACTTACAAAATAAATGGTTCAGATCGTTGAAGTTCAATGTAGAATGGATCCCACAACTAATCTCCAATTTAAGGGGAAAAAAAGGGGAGTTCCTTTAAAAGGCATCTCCAATTTCACGAGTAACATAACACGGAACATGATGTATCAATTAGTAAGAATTTCGATAACACATAAAAATTTCTCTTATTTAATCTTAAAAAAAAAAAAAAAAAAAAAAAAGTGAGTAGTAAGAGTATTAGCAAGCGTAAGCTCAAGAAATCAAAGCCTTCAAGGTTGCCCAATTTGACATGAATTGAACCAAGAGCTTTGACTTCTCTGCTCATCTTAAAATGTGGTGTGGACTCTTGTGCAGGCAGAGATTACGTTTAAGAAACATGCATTATGGTCAAAATAAAGGACAGCTGTAATATTCGCGGAATTCTGATAAGAACTGAAAAAACAAAAAAAAAACACACCCCTCGATAGCCGAAGAAATTAATAGTCATAATATTAAAATTGAGTTTAGAATTTCAAAAATATTTCAAGATATAGGTGATTGAGCTAGAAAAATGGACATACGTAGTCTTGGTCAACACAAAGATGTTTCCCTCCAATTGGGGCGTACGTAGTTAACAGGTTGCGGTAACATGTTAGATAGTTAAACGTTAAGAAGAAGAGAATCAGTGGGAATTGAAATATTTGTTTAGTAATACTATTGATTTGGGCTAAAAAACAAAAAAAAACATATCCAGTTCTCACTTTTTGGTTTTTAATCGAAAGTAATTACCAAATAAGATTTCAGTTTTTTTTTTTAAATGAAAACTAAAAATGAAATAGTTATCAAACGGCTACTTAGTAATACAATTTAGTAATTTTCTTCTTCATTTGTAATGATAAGTCTTAGGTTTGAGGGTTGTTTATGACGATTTTGATACTAATATATTCTTCTACACCTTAATGTTAATATATCTTTGAATACGCATAACAAATTTGAAAAATATCTTCTGTTAAGTTTATAAAATATTATCATCAGTGCATATATTTCTGAGAGCTTATATTCATACCCCTCCAAATAATTTCTTCCACACCTGTTTATTTTTTTAATATTTTTGACACATCACTGATACTTGATAGAAAAATATTTAAAAAATTAAAAAAAGTATGAAGAAAGTTTTTTAAAGTGTGTGAATATAATCTCTCATCTTTCTTGATTATATCTTCTAAATAACTAATATTTTAATACATTGCATGTATGCGTTTCAGTGCTCAACATTCTAATACACATAGATTAAACTAGTTAGTCAAAAAAGCGTGCTTGCGTGTAAGTTTGAATTTTGTTTTGTAAAGACCATAACTAGTACCACTCCAGTCAACATTCAGTGTCAGATTTTCTTCATTATCTTTAAAAATGACCTCAAATTGTTTTTTTTTTAAAAAAAAAACAAAGAAAGCAATTATAACCCACTTTACAAGCGTTGTTTCTAACTCAAACAATAGTTTTCAATATTAATTTATTAAATAAAATAACTTAATTACTTATAAGCAAATACAATGTCTCTATTTTTCCAATGTGAAAATTAAGACTCTCAAATCAAATTTTAATCCTCCTTTGTCTCCTGTCCTCAAACCAAATTTTCCTTCCAAGTTTTAAACAGAATTGTTTTGTTATTTTGTAACGCCTATTTCCTTTCCTCGTGGGAAAAAGTTAAGGCAAGACCTGTGTCTTAGTTAGACTCGTAAGCAGCAAACTCTTCTCCCTCTCGCACTCTCGTCTTCTCCTTCTTTCCTCAGGTGGCGTTTGGGTGGTCGATCAGATCATGTTCGAAACGCCGGCGGTTCATTGCTTGAAGAATCAAAGCTCCCACATTTAATTCCCGAACAAAAAATTTAGAAACTTTGTAATCTTGTTGCCTACTTGGTATGAAGTATTTCACCCTAATTGTATCCGTACTTGTTATTCCACTGCTCACCGTCCATGCAGCAAATCGCTGCAACCAAGCGTGCCCGGGTTACAGGCCCAGCCCGATTCAGTACCCTTTCGGGTTCTCATCGGGCTGCGAAATCCGGCTTAACTGCATTCCAAACGGAGGAATCGCAATCGGGGAGTTTCCAATCCAGTCCATAAACCAGGACAGCATAAGAATCAACCTCCAGAGCCATTGCAACCGACCCCTCCACACCCTCCGCAACTTCTACAGCCGGAAATACGCCCCGACGTCACGAAACGCGATTCTTCTTCAGAACTGTACGGAAGGGACGGCGTCGAGCAGCTGCGAGATTCCCAACCTTCAGGTGCAGGCGCGGTTCGACGCGCCGCCCAATTGCAGCTCCAACCGCAGCCTCAGCTGCTACGCCGAGACCAGAAATGATGTCCCATTTTTGGACTTTGGGAGCGTCGAGAGGAAGGATTGCAAGTTCTTGCTGTCGTCGATTTCGGCGCCGCCGCAACTTTTGAATAGCTCGACGCCGGCGGCGCCGGTGATGCTGGAGGTGGAAGTGTTGGATTTGGGGTGGTGGCTTGAGGGTACTTGTGGGTGTGACAAGAACGCCAATTGTACGACCGTCGTATCGCCAAATGGGACTGAAGGGTATAGATGCAACTGTAAGGAGGGGTTTCGTGGAGATGGTTACGTTGCTGGGTCAGGCTGCTGGAAAGGTAATTACTGATTAATTACCGATTGATTACTTCGTAATTACTTATTAACTCTTATTCTTCCTCCTCTTGCTTATTTGATCATTTTTTTTTTCAACTATGAGGTTGGTCTATGATTTTTATAGTACTCTTTCACTCTTCATGCACACCCAAGTTCATTTTTCACGCTTGAATCGAACAAAACAATAAAAAATCAACGAATAAAAATAAATAGTTCATTCATAGAAAAAAATTAATCTGCGGAAATCATTTTCCATGAGCAAACCCTTCATCATATTTACCTCTCAATTTTTAAATTGATTTTGTGCCCTTCTATTTGTCAAATTTTTCTTAATTTTCCATAAAAATGAATCCTAAATGAACAAAATAACCTTCAACTTGACAAAAAAATTTATAACAGAGAATAAATTGACACATTTTAGAACTTAGAGATTCAAACCCAAATTGAAAGTCGAAAAAGCACATCGAATGAAGGCCATAATTTCATGGTGCATTGCTAAAAAGTTTCAAAAAAATAAAAACACAAGATTAAGGATAACCAATTAAAACAATCCAAGGCATGCTTAGGGTCCTACCTTATATTGTTTGACTCATATTTTTGGGATCACATTCATAGGCCACCCTGAAACGAAAAGTCTACGAGCTTAGATACAAATTTACTTTCAATAGATATCATTAGGTTGGGTAGGAGACTAAGAACAACTCGCCACCAAACAAGCATAGCAATTATTTTGTTACATTTTTGTGTGCATTATTTTGGATTTGTAACAATATTTTATTTTATTATTTAGCAGCCATAGTAGACTATATATGGTCTTTTTCTATTTAATATATAATATATTGCACTAAAAAGTAAAGATTTTAGTCAATCACACAATTAAACAACTCTTAAATTTTGTATCAAAATTTTCATTAATAAGAATCAAACTTAAAACATCTTAATTACCCAAAAAAAAAAAAAAAAAAATTACGGACTGTATTGCTATATAACAGCACAATGATTTTTAAGTACGGAAAATTGAATATTTAACGAAATGGAACCGTTGGTAGGGCCCATTGAAAATGCACTCGGGATTCATAACGTTATGCCTCTTGCCTACTCAATTTGTGGGACCGGTCCATTATGTTGGGGGTCAACTTAATCCAATTAGATTATCCTAAGAGAAGATTTTTTTTTATTTTTTTTTATTTGAAACTATCTACACATTTATTTTTATTTAAATTTTTTTATTGGTCAGTTTTTATCATTTGATTTTTTTTTCAATTTATCGTTCCAACTCAACGATAAAAAATTATAAGAAATGTGTGGGAGTTGTATGTGGACCTTTCCCCTGTTTTTTCATTTTTGGGTTGTTTAATAAAAAGAAATAGAAATTATTAGGCCCAAAAATAAAGAAAAAGATATAAGATGACCCCCATGGGTCTCCCTCAGGATGGGTTTGTTTCACCTAATGCGGTGTGTTGGATGGGACTTTTATCATATTTTAATGATTGCGTAGAGAAGTTTTGATTCTGTTACCTATATCTTTAAGTATTGCAATGACCTTAATTAGCAGGAAAATATAAGATTAATGACCCTCATAGGGCCACGAAGGCGTCTAGCTCGAGAGAGATTTCCCTATCATTTAGGATTTTGCATTTTAAGTCTCCTCTGTAACTCAAAGTTGGTGGGCTTAAAATGATGTTCATTTTTGGTGTGGACAAAGAAAGGTCAAGTCATCGGCCCATATAATAAAACGTTGAATTAATGTCCATGGCATTTACGGTAAATTAGTAATACTACATGGCATTGACGATTAGAACACTTTTTTTCTTTCTTTCTAAAATACATGGGGCAATCCTAATTTGATCAGAAGACCCAACAGATTCATTTTCATTTTTTATCCTAACTTATTCAATCTCTTAGGTAATTTGGGAAACTTCTATGCTCATTGTATATCTCTAAACTCGTCTCGCTGGTAATTTAAATGACTAAAACCAGATTAATCCTCATAATTTAACAAATGCAAGGCTTAATTATGTGACTCGTGCTCTGTAAATTTACAGTCTCATCGACTTGCAACCCTGCGAAATACTTGTCTGGCCAATGTGGAGGAAAGACCAGGTTCATCCTTTTGATTGGAGGTAACTGATTAACTCCTCTTTTAACACCTTAATCCGTTTTTATTTTATTTTAAACAACGATATTCTACTCTAAGGGGAAACATATATTCGTTCTTAATATGAGAATTTTTTCCTTTCTCAGCCGTTTTTGTTGGAGCTTCATTGATGATCAGTGTGGCTCTGCTATGCTGCTTCATTCGCCGACGATCCAAGCTGAAAGAGAGACACAGCACGAAACGCCTTCTATCCGCAGCTACGGGCAACTGCAACATTCCCTTCTACTCCTACAAAGAAATCGAAAAGGCCACAAATAGCTTCGCCGACAAGCAAAGGCTGGGGACCGGAGCCTACGGAACTGTTTACGCTGGTAAACTCCACGACGAATGGGTTGCCATAAAGAGAATCAAACACAGAGGACACGAAAGCATGGACCAAGTCATGAACGAGATCAAGCTCATTTCATCTGTAAGGCACCCGAATTTAGTCCAGTTATTAGGTTGCTCCATTGAACACGGTGAGCAGATTCTTGTGTACGAGTTCATGGAAAATGGGACATTGTGTCAGCATTTGCAAAGAGAGAGAGGGGAAGGGCTTTCTTGGCCCTCACGCCTGAACATTGCCGCTGAAACCGCTCAAGCAATATCCCATCTTCACTCCGCCGCTGACCCGCCCATATATCACAGAGACATCAAGTCGAGCAACATTCTTTTGGACTGCAAGTTCAGATCCAAAGTAGCGGATTTTGGCCTTTCAAGGCTAGGGATGGCGGAAACCTCCCACATTTCAACCGCTCCGCAGGGGACTCCGGGTTATCTTGACCCTCAATACCATCAGAACTTCCATCTCTCCGATAAAAGCGATGTCTATAGCTTTGGTGTGGTGCTTGCAGAGATCATATCAGGGTTGAAAGCTGTAGATTTTAACCGCCCACCGGATGAAGTAAACTTGGCAGCTCTAGCAACTGACAGAATCGGAAGGGCGTGTTTAAATGAAATCATAGACCCCTTTCTCGAGCCCTGTATGGATGACGCTTGGACCCTTTCGTCGGTTCAAAAGGTCGCCGAATTGGCATTCAGATGCCTTGCATTTCACCGAGACATGAGACCGACAATGATAGAAGTGACAGCTGAGTTGGAGCTCATCAAGCTAAGCAGATGGCCGTCTTCAGAAGAAAACACTTACACAGCTTCATCGGACGGATCCTCCCATTGCTCTCCATCTAGCGTGAGCGAAAAGCCTCTAAGTATAACCAAATCCCGATCACTTCGAGGCGTCATTGAGCTGCAGAATGGAGATGCCGGTAGCTTCAATTCGAGCGAAAAGTTAAAGGACAATTCACTGGTCTCTTTTCATGATACGTGGTTGAAGGAACGGAGCTCGCCTTCATCGAACAGTTTGCTGAGTAATGTAATTCAGTGACCCTAAAAGGTGATCAAACAGTTTGCTTATAGTTTCACGTTAACATGTTCATACCATCAGTTTTAATGCAGGATAGGGGAATTTTCCCTTCCTCGTCATTGTTCAATATGTACTGATAAGCATAAGCTTTTAGGGGAAATAAAGAATTGTTTTGTTGTCATATATGTGAACTCATTTTCTTTTTTTTTTTTCTTTTGGAGTTCTTAGTTAAAATTACCGAGCGTGAAAAAGTTGTAGGCTGTTTCGTGATGTTTTGATACTTTAGCGGAATCATGATTTCAATTTCATCTAGGGCAAAACTTATATACTAATTTTTGTTCTTTTTCTTATGCCGTTTTATAACCATTTTGTTTGTTTTCACGCTTTTTCAAAACTTCAAGCTTGTTTGTCAACTAATTCCAGTTTAAGCAAAAATTTAAAAACTCACAAATTAAAATTTTAATTTCTCAACCAAAAGGTAATTAAATTTTTAGTTTTGTGTACTAGTGGAATACATGTAGCATGAGTAGGGGTGCAACTCGGATGAGTTGGGTGGGTTGGAAGGTCAACCTAATCCTAATCCAACTTTTACAATTCAGACTTGGTTTCGGGTTGGGTTTCATTCAAGTTCATTTGGGCTCGGGTTTAATTGGGTTGGGTTCCCGTTACCCAACTTTTTCAAGTTTAATCTTGTAACAACTTAGTTTCCAAGAATTCCAACAAAAAATTAAGCCAAGTAGCATCAAGGCTATCTAACTTTAATTTCATAAATCAATCTACTATAAAGCTTTAGGATTTAGAGACTACGAATATGGACTGACTAATCAAAGCCTCTTATTCTCTAAAAGCTTAAGTGATTATAAAGGGTAATTCATTAAAAAATATATATTAGAAAGGGCATTGGTTTTTGAACTTGGCTCACTTGGGTGTAGTATGAACATTAATTGATATGAGTTACAATTTGGATAGATTGAGTTTGGTTAGTCGGGTTGGGCTGGGTTAGAGATGGATAGGCAAATGATCAACCCAACTTAATCCAATCAATGTACAGGTTGAAATTGGGTTGCGTTTGGACGGGCTATAACTAAAAAAAAAAAAAACTCACTTGTTTGGGTTTAAAGTCGGGTTGGACGTGAGCAGGTTTGGATTGGCTCAACCCAAGTTGCACCCCTAGACATGAGTAAAAGTGAGAATGTTAAAATGAAAAAGTAAGTGAGAAGATTGTTAACACTCCCTTTTCTACTTTGGCAGTGCGTTCACTAAACTTAATTTAAAACAATAAAGCAACTATTGTTCTGCAATTTTCTCAAATACAAGATGAAAAATACTCAAGAATGAGCATTTTACAAGAAATTTTTCATTAAATCAAAACACTGTCGCGTGATGTTGTAATTTCATTCAAACTGTAACTTGTGTAATTTTTTTAATATTTTATAAAAATGAGACGGATAAACCATGTAGTCTACAATACTAACTCACACATTGGTGGCTAAGAAAGCCTGAAATGCCTTTATGCCTGTGTATATTCCTGGCCTCAGAAAATATATACTGCCGAAATGAAATCATCAATTTGTCTCTTAAAAAAAAAGTCTACACATTTACCATGTGTGCTATTTACTTATTTATAATAAGTATAAAGTATCTTATAAGACAAAAAAAAAAGGTATCTTCATGTTGTTTGATATATGATAGAAAATTATATAAAGCTATCTAACAAATAGTGTGATGAATTATTTCCCTTCTTTATGAGGCATGTGGTGATTGTTTATATGCAAATCAGTTTCAATTGCAATCTGACTATGCTTTTACCTTTGTAATTCAGCCTTTTCAGCCAAACATACATGAACTAGTCACATCCACACCCACAACTCCAACTTCACCAAAAAAATTGCATATTCTTGTGGATGTCATCGCAAATATATCCGCCTCTAAGCGTTTCACTGATCATGATCAATAATACAAATTTTTTTTTGAGGCGAAACAGTAGAATATTAAGATCTTCAACTTCTTGATATCGTTCTTAATTCTTAATATCGTTGTAAATATATTTTGCCCACAAGTACCTCACTCAAAACTTGATTATTTCTTGCGTGTCAATGAAAATATATTATTAAGAATAATAATTATAAAGAGATTATATTCACACATCCAAAATTATTTCTCTCACTAATATTTTCTACACACTACTAACACTTGATAGAAAAATAGTTAAAAAAGTGTGAAAGAAGTAATTTAGGGTGTATGAATATAATCTCTCTAATTATAATTTCCCACATTTAATTATATTTTCTGCAATCCACCTTGCAAATCATAATATTACAATTTTCACATGTTATGCGGATCATCACTATACAGAAAAGTCCCATATAATGCCAGTCCAATATCCCACTTATCCACTAATAAACAAAAGAAACAAAATCTACAAATCCCCAAAAAAATAAAATAAAAATAAAAATAAAAAACTCAAAACTCAAAAGCTGGCTCTTTTCAGCGACGTCACAGTAATGGCAGCACCCAACGGCGACGGCGCCACCTCAATCTCAAACGAATCATACCGGAGAAAAAACTCCACCACCAAAAGCCTCGAAGCCAACACGCTAAAGTCCTTTCCAGCACACTGTTTGTTCCCGACCGTCGGACTCTCCGTCTCAGGACCGTTCGACCACAGCACGTGCTTCAACAGTTTCTCCCCGTCCTCGCCGACGAACCGATCAGGGACAAACTCATCGGCTCTCTCGAAAATCCTTGGATCTTTGGTTGCGAACGGTTGGAATCCGAACAGCAACTCCCCTTGTTTAACCTTAAACGCCGCGTCGTGGCTCTCGATCACGAGATCCGTCTTCGCCTTTCCGAACTGCAACGGCACCGGCGGCTCGATCCTGAACGTTTCGTAGACCACAGATTTCATCAATGGCATTTGCTCCATTGCGCCCATCGTAATTTTTCCGCCGTTGGATCGGACGGCGGTTCGGATCTCCTCGGCTAATCGAGTGTGGAGCCCGACACCGGCGCGCCCAATCCACTTGATCATATTGGGGAATTGGAACTTCAACCCGCCGAACGAATTGAAGCACGTGGCGAATAACAGATTGTGGCACGCCTCGTCACGTGAGACACCCAGTCGCTCGGCCTCGTCGAGCACGTGACCGGAAGACTGGTAGAAGAAATCGTAGAGGCGCTGGTAATCCTTCTTGATCAAAAATGGCGGGAGCCGAAAAGAGTGGATAATGGGTTCTTCGATGAACTTCGGGAGGCCGAGGATCAGAAGTGGGGCCAAGTTAAACAGGACCCACTTTGATACAAGCTTGGGTCCGTCGACCCCAAGTGGAGTGTCGGCAGGGTTGGCCCCGTACAGCGACCGGGCCAAGAAGTTAAACGCAGCCTGATCGTTGGCCGCGACGAAGTTGGCTTTACCTTTGTCGGCGAGACTGGCCTCCAAAGTTTCAAAAAGCTCCGTGTAGGACGAGTGAAACTCGGGTAGCACCGAGTCGCGACTCGACTTTAGGAGGTAGAAAAGGACCCGCTTCAGCTTGTCGTGCTTGGGCTCCGACGGGTCGAGGTAGGAAAGGATGCGGTAGCCGCCGGTGAGCTCCACGGAGGGCATATAAGTTCCGGTGAAGAGGTCCTTTTTTTCGACTTTCGAGACGTCGAAGAGCACCGGGAAGCTCTTGCCGTCGAGGAGGGCGACGACCTGGGATTTGTAGGTGATGGTGGGGCCCGGCGGCATGTTTACTCGGAACACCGTTGACTGGTATTTCTGGATGCGGGACTTGAAGAACTCGTCCCTGCCCTGGTTATAGAAGTAGTCGAGGCGGTCGCTGATGGGGCCGACGATGGGTAGGCCGTAGTCTCCCGGGATTTTCTTGAAGGGGAGGGATTTCGTCCGGTCGGACTCGGGCGGGTTTGCTGAAACAGAAGAGGGGGAGGGGGATTTCTCGGAAACAGAGGCGGAGATGGGACGGACATGGCCGCGCGTGGAGGAGGAGTTGAATAGTGGTGATTTTTTTGATGATCGGGTTGGAAACTGTAGTTGCAGAGAAGGGAATACCAAAGAAGTCGAAGCCATTGGAGGCGCCCTTGACTGTCGGTTAAAATGATGAGAAAGTTCGTGGGTGGGTGATGGTGGGTGTTTGGGTGGCAGCTTTATTTATAGTGGGGAAGTTGAGTGGGAAGACGGTGGGTTATGGGAGCCCAAAAGTAGTGTAGATTATTAAGGAGGGTCGTGGATGCGTTCATTAATTGTATAGGTTGCTTTGGTTTGAGTGGCGCGAAACAGTAACCCGCGTTGAAAATTAGAAGAACACAAGTGTCCCACAATATTGAAGATTACAACAATAGAAATTGGCTATTTATTACAGTGGTAAAAATGTGTTGAGTTATTGTATGACGGTATCGATTCAAACTTTATTGATGGTTAATCTAACAAAATTTATCGTTTGACAAAAATAAAAAGTGTCCAACAATATTGAAGCAATTATTTGGATTGGAATGTTTGTGGTTGAAACACATATATATTCATCTTGTCTGTGCCAACCTTAGTTGAAAATGCAATGTGTCTGCAACACTCTTCATGTAACAAATTTGATCTACGCCTAATGCATATAATTGGGATTAACAAGTTTCTTTACTTGTTTGTTTATGTAGGGAATCCATTCATCTAGGAAAAAGAAACAATTTCTCATCTATGCAAATCACATGACACATGCAAAAAATAACTTGTCGAAGGCACAAGAAAAACAATTTATGCACACGTGTAAAATTATGAATCTACGAATTACATGAATGTAAGAGTGTGTACTTCAACAAGAAAATGCCAAGTATTTTCCCTTGAAAACAAATTAAGTTACAAATGTTCAATCAAAAGTAAAACAGGAAGAACACCAAATCAATAACAAATCAGTTATCAGTCTCTTTTGCGTATACTCCCAATTCATCGAATTAAGGTTTGTGCATATTTTTCTTTTATGTTGAATTGTATTTGGTCTAAATCGTGGTTCTTGTTACTAATTTGTTCTCTCATTTGAAAAGTTATCTTGTTAGTAAACGTTAACTAATGGGAAAGAAAACTTTGCATGGAGCATGCCAAATAGAAAAAGCCTTGCATGGACTGAGATCCGTCAACGTTCAATTTCACTCAGCGTTAAAGTTGAGTTGTCGTTTTTCTTATGCTTCCTATCTGAACGAGTCTACCCCCGCTATCGATCCTCATCCATGAATATTGCGCGTGGGTCTAACAACTTTTGTCAACCACATACCGATGACGGAGTTGAAAGTCATGGTCATAAAATTGTGCGTTTGAAAGTCAAAGCGAATGTTCATTTTTACTTCCGGCGACTCGATACCTGAGGTATGGTTTCTCACTGCCGGCCAATATTGCACGCGCATGTCACGTGACCGCCGTCCATTTAGCAACTGTACAGCGACCCTTTTATTCACTTGCACTAATTTGGCCGTTTGGGGAAAATGTGAGCTTTGCCTAGTGATTGGGTTCTCTTTCACTTTCTTCGGTCATTGATGATCTTCGTTTAACTTTTAAAATTTGGACAAGTTAAATGTAATTATACCATATCCTACTGCCCTAGGGTTGTCGTAAAACATAACTACGATCATTCATTCAGATTAAGTATAATATGTAGATTCGTAACAGATTATGTGACGGCATGACGATCGTGCTTAATATATGTAGATATGTAACACAAGCCATGGAATTAATGATATGCATGTCATTCAATCAAAGATACTTAAATTAAAACCCTCATTAATTAATTGATCAATGATATGCATGTTATTCAATCAAGGATATTTAAGAGCCACCAAATTGAAACACATGATTCAACAATTATCTTCATTTATGGAAACAAAGTCCCAACAAACACTAAATTTAAGTTCTCTCCTTGTGAGAGATTTTCTCTCATTCGGAGAGCTTTTATCACTGGTGCGTGAGTATCATCCGCTTCGTTTTTCTTGTAGCCGATGTCCCTAGCTATGGCCAAGGTCGGGGCAGTCCTTCTCTTCTCCTTTCTCTTTTTCCTTTTTTTTTTTTGTCTCTTCCATTTCCTTCATCTTCTGTTTTACTCTGCCCAGTGGCTTGTTTGCCACTTAACCCCATGTGCATCTGCTTTCTTTGACTTCAATCCCTTTTCCAACTTTTCTCATTTCTTCCTTCCTCCACTTTTCTCAACACGATTTATTGCGCTTCTCCCATAAGGTGAGTAGAGCTTTGGCTCGTGTGGTCACACCACCTCTATCCCTTGGTTTGCCTTTGTTGGCACTGTTGCTAGTGGCTTTTTTCCCGCTGGCTTCCTTCAATTTGTGGCGGCTGCTGTTGTGGTGCTCCGTGGAGGAGTTCGGGTTTGGGGTCCTGTTGTGGCTCATTTTTCATCTAGATTTGGGGCTCTGGTTATTTTGATTTCAAATGGGTACAGGGGATGTTTGTTCGGCAAACGAGTTGTCAACGGATGTAGGAAGCTGTTAGGGTTTGCTTTGTTGCTTTTTCATTTTAGGGCTCAAAACTATGTTTTGGGCTGTTGGATTACTATGGAAGTCTATCTTTTGTTTGTGTGTTTATTGTATTTGGACATTTTCTTATGTAATTTATTGTGTTATAAATAAAGAAAACCCTTGAACAAAAAAAAAAAAAATCTTCGTTATGGAGAGATTTTTTTTCAAATACCGAGTAGTCAAGCGATATTCCACATATCATATAATACAAGTGGAGAAAATGATAATTTTTTGTGTTACCCGCTTGACACCGGTCAGTTTGGAAATTTTCTCCCATTCATCCGCGTTGTATCCAACAACCTCCGACAAATTTAATTTGCCTCATTTAAGAACGATTTCAAAATATGAAATCAGATAATGCTGAAATTATGTATATATTTATTCCCTAATCTCTCGGTAGGTGAAATGGAGAGCTCAACAAGAGTTTCCTTGTGACTTGAAGGTTCATTTGGCCAATTACGTTGATGGACAATACAAAGGATAACAATAATTAAAGACTATCAAATGCAATTTAGGTATTCAATTTTTGGTATAAGACTTCTTGCATTTTGTTGGTCGAAGTTCCTTGTGGTGATTCTTAATTAGTTAGCTAGGTGATAGATGATACATGATTAATTATGGGCTCGTTTAAAAGTGCTTTTAAAATTATTGAAAACATTTTTAGAAAAAAAATTTTTGGATTCCAAAATCATTTGAAGTGTTTTCTATAAGCAGCACATAATTAAAATTAATGGTAGTCTATGTATCGCTTTACGTCGAATGGAATCTAGTAGTTGTGTATATTACAAAGAAACTTCCTTACACTGGTGAGGCCATACCACCCTGTTGAATATTTTCACATGAAGTGTGTGATGACTTGAGTTACCGCTACAATGTCATACTTGGTGGTTGAAAACCCTTCAAATAAATTATGGGTCTGTAGGTCGTAGGCCGAGCAGTGTGATTATTATTGGGCCAAGCTTTCATCAAACCCAACCATATTGAGCCTACTTTAAAATTTGTTAATACAATTGGGCTAAGCCCAGCTCACCTCTTCGACCGTTCGACATGGAGGGTTTAAGCCGATTAATACAAAAACAAAATACAAAGCAGGGAAACTCTGCTTAAACCCTAAATCCCCAAAAATGGAGGTGCAATCAATCTGTCGCGGGATTCCCACTTCAAATTTGGTCTCCAACCACCGCATACTCCCTCCTCAGATCGTAAGCAAATTTCTGATTCATAATTACTTCGAAATGAACATTTCTGTTTCAATTTTGTCAACATTTCCATGTTTTTAGTTTAATCACCGATTTTTGTGCTGTTAAATTCCCCAGGTTTTCGCAGGCCACGCCGGGCGGAGGGATGAAAAGCTCCACCGTAGCGGAATTTCTTCCAAATGTACGCTTACTCGTCGCCTTAATCTCAATGTATTAGGCTCGGAATGTTTTCTTTCATTTTTCTCAGCGGCCAAACAGGAGTTTCATTTATGTTTAAAGTAGGGCTTGTTTGGGATTTTCTTCTGGGAAGGATAACGTGCTCTGTGACGACCAAAAGTACTTTTGATTACGTTTGGTAGATAAACTTAAAAGTGCTTTTGAGTCATAGAAGTGTTTAATGGAGAAGTGATTTTAGTAAACACTAGTAAAAGTGCTTCTAAGTGGAAGTACCTTCTATGGAAGCAGCCCCAAATGGGCCCTTAGTCTTGCCTGTAACCAAGCAAAAAAAATTATATAGTCTTGCTTTTGTGTTTTAACTGGAAGAATTGTTTCAGCATATTTGAACAGAGGAGCTATTAAATGTGTTTCAAATTCTAGTCGGGATGCGAAGTTGGAATTCTCAGGAGGGGATAGTTCTAATGTTCCTGTTAAAAAAGTTGATGGGGTGGAGCCTTTTCGGGGTAAATCGGGTTCGATTTCGTTCTACGGTTTGACACACCAGTTGGCAGAGGAAGGGAAATTGATTTCGGCCCCTTTTGATGAAGAGAAGGGCTCGTTTATTTGGTTTATCGCCCCTGTTGCTTTGATTTCATCGTTGATTCTTCCACAGTTCTTCATTGGTAATGCAGTTGAGGCCTTCTTGAAGGACGAGACTATCATAGGTATTCACTAGACCAAGTTTTTGTTTAATTTGATTAGGTTTGGACTTTTACTCGTGTGATAGTGGTTAACAAGTGCTTGATTCTGAAATGTATGACAGCCGTTAGCAAATGATATAAGTTAGTAGGAATAATTTGGTTTTATATGTGCCTGCACCATTTGTTTGTGATACAACGTGACTTTTGTTTCAGATATAAATCACAAATTGTTTTCGGTGCCATAGAGGATAGTCTAGATCGATTCATAGATAGATTTATATCCGGTATCTCCATGGGTAGAGATAAAGATAGAGATCCATCTAGATCTTGATTCACTATTTCCTTTTTTTCTTCTTGATCCTGATTGATTGCCTTTTTGTGACGACAAGTTTTAAATCTTAATGCAGCCTGGAAACATCTTACCAAAAGATGGTTCCTATTTTATCAATCAATTGATTTGCAGTAATCTGATAGATATTTTGATAAGCATATTCGTCCAATTTATAGCAAAGAGGCTTTCTCTCCTGATTTTGTATCTATTGATGGTTATGGGAATGAAAGCTTTTTGGAGTTCGATTTCTGTGGACAAGTTGAATTGTTTGGTGAAGTTTCTACTTGTATTAATCTTCTGTATACCTAACACTTCAATCTCTTGACTTTCATATCCATTCCCCTGTGGTTTTATTTGCATAGCATAAAGCGGCTGCTATCATATGTCTATGCTTTACTCAGAAGAGAAAATAAACTAATATTTATTTTTCTTGCTATGCAGAAATTGTGACTTCATTATCGTACGAGGCTGTATTTTATGTGGGTCTTGCAATATTCCTGCTTGTAACTGATAGAGTGCAAAGGCCCTATCTGCAGTTCAGTCCAAAGAGATGGGGTCTCATTACCGGCCTAAGAGGATACTTGACATCTGCTTTCCTCACCACGGGATTCAAAGTGATGGCTCCTCTGTTTGCTGTTTATGTAACCTGGCCATTGCTTGGCTTTCCGGCCTTGATTTCTGTCATTCCCTTTCTAGTTGGCTGTGTTGCTCAACTTGCATTTGAGACGGTTCTTGAAAAGCATCAGTCATCTTGCTGGCCTCTAGTTCCCATTATTTTCGAGGTAGATATAGTTTATTGAGATCCATTAATGTTGTTTGTTTTGGAGTTGAATCCAAGGCTTTTGGCATCCATTGGAATTCTTCTGTTTCCTAAGCTGATATTTTGGCATCTATGTGCAGGTTTATCGACTATATCAGTTGACAAAAGCTACTTCCTTTATCCAGAATTTGATGTTTGCCATGAACGGTCTTCCTACATCCCCCGAACTGCTAGAAAAAAGCGGTGCACTATTTGCTATGATGGTAACCTTCCGAGTCGTCAGCCTAGTGTGCCTCTGGTCGCTGACGACATTTCTTTTGAGGCTGTTTCCTTCCAGACCCGTTGCAGAGAAATACTGATGTTTTTATCCAACGCTGTATATTGTGATTCCGGGTTCTTTGCTCGTTTAAGTTGTGTGTAATCATAAATTTGATCGTCTTTGTACTTGATTCCGGTTTAATTAGATTCTACCCTTGGACGATCACAGTTACGGGTGTTTTCTCTACCAGATTTGTCGAATTTTACTTGTATGTTTTAAATTTTGCCAATATAAAGAAGATGAGGTTCAATCTAAGTCGATTGCAAGTTCAATCTAATGTGAAGAATGATTAGAACTTGCAATGAGAACATAGCTGTGAAAATGCTGCGTTGGTGGTTTTATTTCTTTTCGGGCCTGAGGCCCCAAAGCACCCCAGAAATTCAGAAAACAAAACAAAACAGAAGGCTGCGTAAATGGAGGCTATCCAGGTGCGGTCTCCGCACTCAATGTCGGAACTCAATCAATGGTGCCTTCTGTCTTGAGAGCTGCTAAGTTACAAATTGGAGTAAAGAAATGTGGGCTTTTAGATGCCAGATAGGCTAAGAAATGTGGGCTTTTAGATGTCAGGTAGGCTAATTTCTGCCGGAGTGGAGTCATCTAGGAAACATATCTATGTATATATATATTGATTTTGGTATGGCGTAATTAGTGACTAGTTACTAGGTTTTCAAATTGTCTGCACCAGCAAGATTCAGCATTTGTATTCATTCAATTGTCATGTATTGGTTATTTGAAACTTCATGCATTGCATTCACATTCTCTCATTTTCTTGTCTCAACTATTTGACACTCGAAATTTTCAGGCGGGGTAAGGGCGAAAAGGCAAAGTCTTGCAAGGGCCTAGCAACGGAATTGGTCAAGTGTCTAATTTTGGACGTGAACTTTGGTGACTCTGGTTTATCTTATATTTGATTTCCTGCTTTTGTTGTTACAACGGTGAATAGTGTTTATTGTGTAGTTTGAGTCAAAATGATGTAAGTCTTGGCAATCGTCTTTCTCGAAGTCAGAGCTATCGTGAGCGATATTTTCTCTTACGGCTGTATAAGAGTATACCTCAACACCATAGTTAGTGGTGGTGTCACTGCAGAGGGAACCATTGTAGGATGTCGATGGTCCTTGTTTCGTTTATGTGATGATTTCTTATAGGCAACTGGCATGCTTCTTTCGGGCTATGCATGGTTTGCTTGCTTGTCTGCGCTGTTCCCCTCTCCGGCGTCTCCGCCTTATTTCTGGTTCCTTTTTGTGTTTCCACAACTGCAAATGCATCTGTTGTGATTTTCTTATGTTCCGTATGGCACTGGGCGGCATGTCATGGAATGCATTGAGGTGAGAGCCGTATTCGCAACTTTTACTTGTGTTCAGGCCTTAAAGCTCCTGGTAACGTTATAAAAGATTTACCGCCGGTAATTTTCAGAATGTTCTGAAGGCAGAGGGGTAATTTGCTGGCTCTGTTTCATGTGGCGCTGAGACTTTCCACGTAACCTATTGCTTTTCGTTGCTTTTGCTTCGTCTTTTTGCGCGCATGGTCCGCCTACTACTCTTCCATTCGCCAAAAGCCGAAAGCCCAAAAGCACAAGTCGAAACCCACAACACAAGCAAATGGAATATGAATATAGTGTGTTCCCATCCGACTTGCATCGTGCCTTCTAATTCCAAATTTCCAAGTTCCACAAGCCCTCGTGGGAGAAAATATGCTCGTTCCTAAATTCCCAGCGAGAAAATTATCCCACCAAACACACGGTCGACAAGTGTTCGGTCGCCTCGAATCGGAGTGGTGCCCACACGCAGAGCACGTGCCGACGGCGGGCCATTACATTAGAGTCTTTGATTGGTTTTGGTACGTCCAAATTGTTGGGAAGAATTCAAAGTTCAAAACCAATCTCTCCAAGAAATAGGCAAAAAGCGAAATGCCTACTCCATGCAAAGACAAAGACCAGCTAAGATGCCACGAATCTTCTGTTTTCCTTCACACGACGAACCACACTAGCTACAAACTTATATATAAACCCCACCAAAACCAACCAGAAAGTTTCAGTCGTGTTATCAAAGGGAGCAATGGCAGCCACTAGATTAATGCGCACGTTTAAGCCAATGACTTTTCATTCCTCCTCTTTTTCTTCATCTTCTCCGCCATCAACGATCCTGAAGTGTTTGAGCAAGGGCGGAAGAATAAACGGAGAGAAGGGACTTACTAGGAACGATAATGATAGTCACGAGAGGAAGCAAATGCATGCAGTAGCTGTGAAGGCAATGGCAACCACGTTGGCACAACCACAAATCGAGAATCGGGGAGGATTACTCGTAGAATTGGCTTCCCTGGTCGGAAGGGTCAACCGTGCTTTGTCCATTCTACTGAGAACGGCTCTCAGACCAAAGTCTTTGAGACAGCAAGTCCAGATGTTCATTGAAAGGGTAAATATGTCCGTTACATGCATGTTCTCATTGGTCAAAAGATGTTTAATTTTATGTGGTGATCTTGGGTAAATATTTTGAATGAGTTAGTTATACATACTTCATTTGTGCAGGGGATAATAGACTGTCGATTCTTTACATTACTTGCAGTTGCGGGATCTCTACTCGGTTCAGTACTGTGCTTTGTAGAGGTGAAATTTCCATTTTCCCTTTTTATTTGATTACATTACTTGCAGTTGCGGGATCTTTACTCGGTTCAACACGTGCTTACGTTCAACGTTTATATGAATGCAGGGTTGCTTTATTGTTCTAGAGTCATATTTCCGGTATTTCCATGCCTTGTCACACAAGACGGATCAAGGCCATATGGTGCATCTTCTTATTGAAGCCATTGGTAAGTAAAGCACCCACATCTACATGTGATATTCATCCTAATTATGCCTAATTATATTTGACTATGATTAATTCTTGTAATTTACAGATATGTTCCTGGTAGGAACCGCCATGCTTATTTTCGCGGTTGGGTTGTATGCCATGTTCGTCGGGTCAAAGGCCGCGAAAGAAAGAGGACCGCGGTTTTCCGACTCAAACTTGTTTGGTCTCTTCTACATGAAGGTACCTTTCAGTCACTTTTTACATGATGTAAATATCTTCTAATATTTGTACCAACATAGACATCATTTCTAATTCACGTCATTTATAAACATTTCAGGCACCTCCAGCATGGGTTAACATGCAATCAGTTTCGCAAGCGAAATCAAAAATAGGGCATGCGGTGGTAATGATACTGCAAGTGGGACTGCTGGAAAAGTTCAAGAGCATACCTCTAGTTACGCCGCTCGATCTTGCTTGCTTTGCTGGATCTGTGCTTCTTTCCTCTGCTGGTATCTTCCTTCTCTCGAGACTCTCTGCCACTGCAAGCCCCGCTGCAACTGGTGTACATGGAAGATAGATCATACAGCTAACTGATGATGATGTCCACAAACTACTGCATTGGTTTATTAATTAATTTATAACCCCATTATTTTTGTAGCATGCACTGATCAATATATACCGTAGCAATACTTAGATCGAAACATTATACCTCTGCAACCGAAAAAAGAATTGTACTTCACCCAGAAATGGAAGACATAGATATTGTAATTCAACCATGATGATATTATGAGGTTGATGGTCAGAAAAGTACTCATGTTTGTTGATTTTCCATTAATATATGTATATATATCTTCCCTTGTTGGCCTCATTTCTATTTTCGTACGTTCTTATCAACTATATATGTTGGATTAACTTATGTTCTTATTTTTTTGTCCAATGCTCTTGTATGGTGTTTTCGGAGAGCCATTATGCCACTCACACGTTCTATTTTGTTTTTTGATTTGTCGTTTATATTTAACTATAATAATGTATAATAACTGTGAGTGGTGATATCAGCCCTCTTAAACTGATCAGACCTTGTGAGTCGATAATATAACATTCAACCAAGAACAAAAGGGGAAAACATGTCATACCACAGTGATGCCAATACTTATATTTAATGTGTTTGCAATCGACATACAGGAAGTAACTAATAACTACTAACTAATTTAGCGACAGATGTGCCAAAAACCTAATGAATTAATACTGATAAATAAACCAAGAGCATGGCACAGTAAGAAAAGCATCGAGTTGAAACACAAACAGATTTAGAACTCAGTCTCAGAGATATTCCCAGCACACACGGCACAAGTGGTGGCGGAACCTTGGTTGATGTAGGTACAACGATCACAAGCCCAATAGTTCCCATAACTAGGGTTTATCTCCGAGAGGCCACTCTCCAACGCTCTAACCAGCTTGTCAAAATAATTGCAGTCGCCTTTGTCAGTCCCGTCAGCTTTAAACATAAGTCATGGAAACTTTCCAATGGAACTTTCGCGGAGATATACTCTTGTAGGAGCGCATTGGTGAAGCCTCTCGAGGCTGAACACTGCGTGCCGTAGCAAGTGATCAAATAGCTTCAACTTCAACAACTCATCCTCGGGGATATAGTACCCATATGCATAGCTCCACCGGAGTATCTGCCTACCTTCAATGATCTGTTTCCAGGCCTCGATAATGAACTTGAGCTCAAGATCTGATTGACATTGTATTTCAGAAATAGTTGAAATATCGTCACCTTGCAACCTATTGAAATCCTCCATAGCTTTTTTCTTTGAAGATATATTGTTTGCCCAACGTTCATAGTAATAAATGTACTTCTCCAGATATTTCTTTGCCTCTTTCTTTCCCCTATCTTCAGCCACAAAATCACCACGGTTATAACTGTGGCAATGACATTTTTTGAATTCGCAGAGACATAACCAGCAAAATCGGAACCTACAAACACTGCATCTCATAACATTACAACCTCCGTCTTTATTGATCGCTCTTTTGCATTTGGGACAAGGCTTGGTGTTCCCAAGTATCCATTTTGCGTTGTGATGTTCATCCTTGTTCTTCGCAGTCCACTAATTTGTTCTAATTTGGTGAGATTTTTACTATTAATTTATAATCATAGGGAATTAGAAAAAGCAAAGTTGTAATCTCATCGGGAAAAAAGTTGATCTTTTAACATTTAATTTGTAAATTTGTAGTTACGGCATATTGTAGCCTTCTCAAAACAAAATTGTGCATGCCTTGTGAAACTCTGTGTTAGTTCTTCTCGTCCCACCGATCCTGAATCCTCTTCAGCCGAGACAAGAAAATGCTGCAGTTCGCTCTATGCACATTTGTCAAGCCTCTCCAGACTAAACTCTGCGTGGCGTTGCAAATGCTCGAATAACCGGCACCTTCGAGTTCAAACGACCATATTCGGGGATGAAGTAGCCGTACGCATAAGTCCATCGCAATACCTGCCTACACTCAACGGTCCGTGCCCACACATCTATAATGAACCTGAGCAAACAATCTTGACTGGCATTGTGTGTCGGCAAGTTTCGTGATCTGCACGCTTTGCACGTTATGTAAATCCTCGATTGCTTTTTGCTTTGAAGATTGATTGTTTGCCTATCGTTCATCAAGGTGGGATTCATCATGAGAGAAGATTGATAAGAATTGTTGTTGTTCATACTTGTGCGGCCAAGCCAAAATCCCTCACCCCTTCGTATAAATATATCGTTGTATACCGTAAACAAAACCAACAGTATTGGATTTAGCATTTATTCTCAGTTTTTGTAGATTCAGAGAACAACACGAAGCTTAAAGTAGCACATAATCAAAGAGTTCATCTTCTTTGATTAAAATTCAGCAGGCAATGGAGACTCTGAAGAACACGTAACACACATGGTAGCAGAACTGTCATTGACATAGGTGCAGAGATCACAAGACCAATAATCCCCATACGATCTTATCTCCAAAAGGTCATTTTCCATAGCTCGCACCAAGCTCTTGAAGTAATTCCTAACCACAACGGTCAGTTGGACTACCCTCGCCCGAAATTTGATGAAATCGTCAATGGATCTATCCGCGTTGACATGCTCTTCTAGTTCCACTTCTGCACATTGATGGAACTTTTCCAACCCGCACTCTGCCTCGCCTTGCAAGTACTCAAAAAACCGCCTCTTACCATCCTCATTTTCAGGGATGTAGAACCCGTATGCGTAGCTCCATTGCAGCACCCGGCGGCATTGGATTATCTCTTGCCATGCCTCGGTTACAAAACTGAGAATTGGATTGGTTTGGCGATACTTCTTATCAAGTTTCTTCAGATGGACATCTTGCACAAGCCGAAAATCTTGGAGAGCTTTTTGCTTGGAATCATGGTTTGCTATCCAACGCTCGTAATGGTGGACGTATCTGTCTAAAGACATCTTTGCCATCTCTTTCCTTTTCTCACTCGCATTGCTCTTCACTCCCTCCAGGTAAGAATTACACAAATGGCTACGGCTCCACTCTCCGAGGCATATCCAGCAGAAATCGAACCTGCAGGGTGCCCTGCATCTCATGTGGTTACATCCTTGGTTTTTTTCGATGGGTCCCTTGCACTGTGGACAAGGCTTGGTGTTGACAAGAATCCAATTCATATTTTCGGACTCATCCTTGTTCTTCGACATCCACTTGGCCACAGTTTCACATTTCACCGGACTGTGAGCTTCTTCAGAACAATTCCAACAAAATATATACGAACAAAGGCAGGAAACATCACAATTAGTCTTATTGCCACCAACAAAATCTACAGCATTATCACAACCAGGAGCAGGGCACCATTTTATCTTCGTCTTCCGATAACTCTCTTCAATGTAAGACCTCACAAGGTACCGCGAAAACTTACCCTTATCGGAGTCAATGTCCGCCAACAGAAAGATCATATCTTCCCCGACAGCAGCACCACAACTCGGATGCGGACATTTCAGCGACAAACATCCAAGACCGTCATTGTTAATTGACTTACTAACATACCCTCCCCAACATCCTCCACAATAAAAATGGCCACAAAAATTGGAGCGATTTCCACGATCACCACCAACAAATGTTTCAAAGCAAATTTCACAAGTAGACGAACAAACATCAGAAGACGAGGTTTGAACGAGTGGGCTTGTTTCTGTTTTCTTAAACAAGCCTAATATTTTTCGAACCTCGTCTTCCTCCTCAAACCACTTGTCAAACAACTTACTGGTGTTCCAATTACAGTGTCGGAGTAAGATGATCGCGGCGGCTCTGGACACGCAAAGTATCGAGCAGACCTCTGTGATTTCATGGAGTTGGCGCTGGCTGATGTCTGCTTGTTTCAAGATTGTGTAGTGAAGCTGTTGCGACGCCGTTTGATCGTCTCTGAGGAAGCTGTTGGAGTGGTGAGCAGAATCCATGATGGAGGAGTTGGAGGCAAGGGCAAGAACCGGAAGAAAAGCACCAACTATTCCATGGAAAAAGAGAGATTGGAGGATAGTGCAACGAACTTGCGGGTTGACCTGGTCATTGACGAGTGACGACTGACTTTTATAGAAGGTGTCAATGTATATCCTTCAACGGACGGACGGAGGAGAGCAACTTGTACGACAAAAAAAATTGACGTTTTGTACAAGTAAACAAACATACATGAAAACAACTAACACACATCTTTGGTATTGGCATAAGGTGATTTATTGTCATATAAGTCTTTCTTTTAAGAGTTATTTCTGATGGCTTTTGCAAAAATTCACAGAACACGAACAAATCGTATAAGTCACAAGTTGTGTGAATGATGCGATATTTTAATTTTAACACGATATTTTGCATGCACAGTACGGAACTACAGATAGTATTATAAGCCGTGCAGACTTACCGCATTAAGTCGAAAAAATCACTCGCCTAATCCATTATAATCCTTTCATTAAAAAGAAGCCACGAAAATCCGTTCTAGCTATGCTTTATGCCGCAACGAATGGTAAGTCGACTTCAAAATGGCTAATAACATTTTCTTGCTGCACATACAAAAGCTCTTCCGAAAAACCATTATCCAACCTACTTTCATGTCATTTTATCTGCTGCAGAAGCTTCTTGCAAGACACTTGAAATGGTGAATAATATTCTCCTTGAAATCATCTAAAATCAAAAAAAGGGGCACACGGGACGACAAATCGTGGGAACAGAAAAATATAGCAACAGAACATCTGGTGTGACAATGATACATATGTTTTTTCATTAACATCGACAGGACACTCGAAAAATCTACATTTTTTAATAAATCAAATTATAGGACGACGTTTCCGGAAAATGAAACAGAAAGAATGGACGGAAAAGATTACGGCAAGCTAAATACATCCCTCAATAGAGGCTATCAAGATATACAATACAAACTCTCACTTTACATGGAAGCCAAAAGATCTCTCATTTCTGTTACGCTATGAATGGTCTCTGTCGGGTAAATCTTGGCGACGAGCTGCGCAAAACTTTCATACTTGTCAAGGAACTCCTTCTGTCAAAATCCATGACATCCATCAGATATTTTCAATGGGAAGGCGAAGAAACTCTTCATGTTTACAAAGACGAAACTATTGTTACGTACCTTGCATTTATCCCATAATGAAGGCAGCAGTTCTTCTGACGTCATGTTTTTCTGCAACTTCTTGTACATCGCAGTGATGGACTTGTCAAGCTGTACCAGGAAAATCCATGATAGTGTTAGAAACGAACATTTAGAGATGAAAATTTCGGATGGGTAAATCAACTCACCCCGGATAAACTTGATTTTATCACCTTCCGCAGATCCATCTTTGACAACCCTAGCTGGAAGGGGATCTGCAATGAAGGAAACTTATATCAGCCATTACATTCAGAGAATTAAGACTTTGAAGATAAATAACTCCACATAAATCATTCGGGCAACTACATTCTAACAGTTCATTCTCAGAATGGGGCAAAGATACTGTTCATGGAGTATATCAATGTGCAAATCACTGGACAAAGTTTCAAATTAACCGGGAGTATGACGTAATTAACAGAGGTTTCATTTTTCCCAGTTAGATCAGATATGGATAATTGAGATACCAACACACTAACCTCTTCTGGTGCGATTGTATACATCAAATCCTCTATTCTTCGAGCAAACTGGAAAAGCCGTTCAAATTGCTGCGAAAAGAAAACAAATGAGGGCATATGTAACCAAAAATGTGTCCAAACTGTATGTCAGGCTCAAGCAAGAAATCTATGCCAAAATGGCTGATTCTTCACAGGCTAGATGCCTTGATGAAAACTTCAGTGTTCCTATGAACATAACTGTCTAGCTTTCACCTGGAATATTATGTTTCATACAGATTCTATAGTCTGTTTGTTCAAACGCTTTTTCTACCAGTAGTTTCTACTGTACTGTTAGTTCACCTGGACATGTTTATTCACACCTCCCCTTTTCAATATGAAAAGAGAAATAGCTAAAAGATAGATCTGCCCTTATCCTATTTTTACCATTTATCATATAATATCCTAAAGCTAGATCTGCATTGTCTATATGAACATGATTCTAAAAGGAACAGGGGGAAGGGTGGGAAGAAAAAATTATATACAGCATCTGGATAACTTACATTGTATATGATCATGCTGATATGGCGTGTGCAAGCTTGTTCATAAGCTTCACTTGCCTGGTGATAAAATTTGGCCAAGGTGGGCACAACATTTGCTAGGTCATACAAACTGCAAGCAAACTTCAAAAGTGAATTCACACAAAAAAGAAAGCATTGATCATAGTAGAAAGGAAACATAAGGATACCTATTCTGAAACGCAGCATAGTTCTCTAATAGAAAAAGATCAGAATACTTTGGCTCTGTTTGTGCAATTTTCTCCAATGTCGCAAACATTATACTAACCTGTCAAACAATTGATCTAACGTAAGAAAAGTGGAGATGCATTTCTGGTAAAACATCAGACTGATAGACAATCAAATGTTATCATCATCTATCTTCACACAGCCAACAGACTGCAAGGTTTAAGAAAAAGAACGTTGCCTTCTGAATTCAAACTTGAGTAATCAAAAGTGTGATAACTAAATAATAAGCTTTAAAGGCATAGTATATAGGACAAATACTAGCACGGTGTTGAATCATAATTTTAAGAAAGCTTCCTCATACAGTTTGAACCACCATAAAATAATTTTCAGAAGAAAAAAAACTCACAAATTTTGTGTACGCTTGATCAACCAAATCCCTAGATTGTCCCTGGATGTACTGCTCCATTCGTGTTGCCAGAGTAGCAAATCTAAGTAGAAGGGAGGTTAAGCAAACATAAGCAACTGCTTTGTTTTACACATATGGTAAATGTGGCCAAGACATGCCAGTTCACCTTGGGATGTATGATAAGACACCCATTTGTCTAACGTTGCGCTCGTTTCTTTCAATCTGGCGGCAAGCTTCATCAACAAACTGCAAGAAGCATACATGGGTTCAGAATCTTCAGAACATAACCTAAAAAATATATGACCACAATCACTAACACACAAACTTACGTGACTGAACTGCATAGAAACTCTCGACTCCAGATCACCAAGCAAGAGACGTACAAAACCTGCTGCATCAGCTTTTTGACCAGAAAGATAGCGCTCTGTAATCCCATGCATTGATATGCAGCGTAAGGGATCAATCTTGTACGCCCAGTCCACAACGGCATAGAAGTCTTCCTGAAAACCATATTTATTGGCCTCTTTTATTGGTGAAAAACAAGGAACTTTAATGGCTACCAAATAGTGCATGCTGCTATGCAACTAGCCATGACCAGAACAGTTGAACTGGTGGTGTGTGCAAATGAAGCCCAAGCAAAAAAAAAATTCACGAGCAGCTGCAAAAAATTAGGCAACAAGTTGTGCACATTACCTGGATTCCATCAAGTAAGTCCTGAAGAGATTCATTTAATGCTGCAAGCTCTCCTGAACTTTTGCCTACAAAATTAGACAATCATATAAAATGCGAGAGAGAGAGAGAGAGAGAGAGAGAGAGAGAGGGAGAGAGAGAGAGAGAGAAGCAGAAACCTCCCATTGCAGACAGTGTAAAATATGATCAAAAGTTCATAGGGAATTACAGCATAGTAGTGTAAATTACCAGCTTTGCTGTCATTGTCATCAATGTCCATGATTCCCAAATCATCGTCATTGGTGTCATCATATTTATCTCCATTAGCAGTACCCCCTGGAGGAACAAGTGCCGGAACTTCAAAGCACATAAAGTGCGCAAAGAAAGAACTCTGCAATTGAGCCATTGCAAAATAGACATTTAATACGGAGATATGCATTATGTAAATATGCGTTATGTAGATCAAAGAAACTATTATATAACTCCATTTTAACCTCATCTACAAGGAGTGGGATAAAAATTGTAAGCATCTTGGAATAAGCTTCAGAAACAGTAGAAGTGTCCGCAGCATTCACATTTTGACCAGACCCAGTAGAAGCTTCAAGCCAGACGGTTGGATTTCTTGATGCCTTTGTACTAGCACGAAGCTCATTTGCAAATTCGCGAGCCTGTAGGTATCAAATTATATACTCAAACTTTCAAACTGATCAAACTACTTAGCTGCCTGAGGATTACAAAAGTTTATTTTGAGAACAAGAATTATTTAATTAGGTTATTGATGCAATGTTGAATCAAATCACCACCATTTTAGTTTAAATTATTACAAGTTTATTCTATATTGAACGACCAAACTATATCACAATCTTATCAGAAAGTCTGGTGATCAGATGGAAAACCAAAATGTGGTTGCTCATGAGAAGGTTCTTCATTTAAGACAAAATTAAAGATAACTGATAAAAGCAGCAACCAAATAATACATTCTAACACATATATATGTTAGAATAGAATATAAGGTTGTGATTCTCACCTCGCGACGAAGAAGCAAGTTAAGGGAGCTACAATATGCTTTCCTCAAAGGCCCCATGCAATTTTTATCAAGACTCTGAAAATGCAAAGCGGGGAGAATAAACTTAGGAAAAAACACACCGGTACATATGCACAGGTAGAAACAACAAAAATCCTAATAGTTAATGCAATTAAGCTAAAATTTGACCTTCAGATGTTGCAGAAGGCGAGCATACGTTCTGCATTTGTACCGTAGATCAGCATGATCAGGCCTTTTCAGCTGCCCCCGCTATTTAAAACAAGCACAATAGTGAGCATTAAGACTTGTACACTGGAAATGAACAATTTTGATTATAATTATAAAAGCCCAAGTGCCATAAGTCCACCTGAGAAAAGTAGCTCTTGTCGCTTATCATAAAATCCACCAAACTAGCAAAGTAATTTCGCAAGAACTCAGAAGCTCTTCTGACAAATGTAGATTTCAATTTTTCAAGTTCTGCTCGCTTCTCTTTAACCTTTAAGAATTTCAATTACAACTATAAACACAATGGGGTTTCCAATATCAAAAATCAAAACAGCTATCAATCTAGCACCTCCGTAATGAGAGGGAACTCTAAAGTTCATACATCTGGCCACAAATTGTTGGAAACAAAAAAATGAAACAAATGTGAAGGGCAGAATGCATACAGCCCGCATATTTGCATAGA